TCGATTCCGGTCAGGGGCATGTATGTTGATTGCAGGCACATCCCCGGTAGGGGGTGTGCAAGAGCCAGCTGGTCGATTCTCTCTCATCGACGTTTCTAGCTATCTCTCTCCCTTCCTCTCTGTAAAAAATCAATTAAATATATTTTAAAAAAATAGTTCCACTTCCTAGGCAGCCATTTTCCCCACAGCATCCATCTTTGGTTCTTATTGGTTGGTTCCTATGCCTGTCAGTGCAGTAGCTCTGTCTCCAAGGCAGCCATGATCTAGCCACCCACTCGTATTTCGTTTTCATTGGTTAGTTTCTCTGCCAGTCAGCATCATAAGCTCCTCCTCCTAGGCAGCTATTGGTTTCTACAAGCATCTACCTGTGGTTCTGATTGGTCGATTCCTATGCTAGTTAGCTTCAAAAGCTCCACCTCCTAGGCAGTCATTGGTTCCATACAGCACTAAGATTTGGTTCTCATTGGTCAACTCCTATGCCAGTCAGCATCAGAAGCTCCCTTGTCTAGTCAACTATTGGCTCCCCACTGCAGCCATATTTGGTTATCATTGGTCAGTTCCTATGCCAATCAGTGTCTAAAGCTCTGCCTCCTCGTCAGCCATTTGCTACCTTCTGCACCTATATTTTGTTCTCATTGGTCAGTTTCTATGCCAGTTTCACAAGCTCTGCTCCCTAGGCAGCCATTGGTTCCCACAGCACCCACCTGGGCTTCCGATTTGTCAGTTCCTTTGCCACTCAGCATCTGAAGCTCCACTTCCTAGACCGACAATGGATCCGCACAGCACCCACCTTTGGTTCTCATTGGTCAGTCCCTATGCCTGTCATTGCAGTAGCTCTGCCTCGTAGGCAGCCATTGGTTATCCACCCACTAATGTTTTGTTCTCATTCGTCAGTTTCTATGCCAGTCAGCATCATAAGCTCCTCTTCCTAGGCAGCTATTGGTTCCCCATAGTACCCACCTATGGTTCTGATTGGCTAATTCCTATGCCAGTCAGCATCAAAAGCTCTGCCTCCTAGGCAACCATTGGTTTCCACACAGCACCAAGGTTTCTCATTGGTCAGTTTCTATGCCAGTCAGTGTCAAAAGCTCTGCCTTCTCGTCAGCCATTGGCTACCTTTTGCAGCTATATTTCGTTCTCATTGGTCAGTTTCAAAAGCTCTACCTTCTAGGCAGCCATTGGTTCCTATAGCATCCACTTGTGCTTCCGATTGGTCAGTTCCTATGTCAGTCAGTGCCTGAAGTTCTGCCTCCTAGACAGTCATTGGTTGCTTACAGCACCCACCTTTTGGTTCTGATTGGTCAGTTCTCTTGCCAGTCAGCGTCAGAAGCACCACCTCCTAGGCAGCCATTGGTTCCCCACACTACACACCTTTGGTTCTGATTGGTAATTTCCTATGGCAGTCAGCATCTACAAACCTATCTTCTGGGCCTTATCAAAGAGGCGGGGCTTAATAGCAGTCCCATAGAGAAAAGCCTTGCTATTTGAAAATCAAAAAGAGGGAGAGAAAGAGAGAGGTAAGTACACTGATCAGCAGCTTCCACTGAGACTGCAGATCAGACCCAATCACTTTCTGGGTCTCAGCTACCTGTGCAGTCAGTGCTAGGCAATCCAGCACTGACTTCCCCCATGGTCAGCTTTTCGTCCTTAGCGGTCATTTCAACCTGAATCTTTATTATTAAGATTATAACCCAAAGAAGCTTAGATCAACCTGCTAACCTTTGCTGTCATCACTGATAATCAGATAAAAAACAGAGGGACAAAAAGCAACCCACAGCCGAAACCGGTGTGGCTCAGTGGATAGAGCATCAGCCTGAGGACTGAAGGGTCCCAGGTTCAATTCCGGTCAAAGGCATGTACCTAGTTGCGGCACATCCCCAGTGGGGAGTATGCAAGAGGCAGCTGATCGATGTTTCTCTCCCATTGATGTTTCTAACTCTCTGTAAAAAATCAATAAAAAAAATAAATAAATAAAAAAGGCAACCAACAGCTTATTGGAAAGGCATTCAGTGGCCACTCCCCAAATGCAACCCAAAGATGCACAGGGCACTTCATTGGGTTTCACAGTCACCATTCCATTGGTCTGGGTGAGTCACATGGGTAGTCATAAAAGGCTTCGGCAAGGCCGAAGCCGGTTTGGGTCAGTGGTAGAGCGTCGGTCTGTGGACTGAAAGGACCCAGGTTCGATTCCGGCCAAGGGCATGTACCTTGGTTGCGGGCACATCGCGGTAGGGGGTGTGCAAGAGGCAGCTGGTCGATGTTTCTCTCTCATCGACGTTTCTAGCTCTCTCTCTCTCTCCCTTCCTCTCTGTAAAAAATCAATAAAATATATTAAAAAAAAAAAAAAAAAAAGCTTCAGCCTTACCATATTTGGCATAACCCCGGTACCCAGGCATCAGAATGGGGGGGAACTAGGGAACAAATAACCGTTCTTCAATAAATATACTGGAAGTCAAAATATAAAGAACATATAAGACTGAGACTTGAGACATCCAAATGGATGTCTTATATGGATTGATTCAAACAAACCCAATGTAAAACTTGAGAGGGAACTTTGAACACTGACTACATATTTGATGCAATTAAGGGATTGTTCATTATTTATATAGTAGGGTATTGGATTTATGATTTTTAAAGAGCTCTTTCCTTTGAGAGATACAAACTAAAATATAAAATGACACATTTGGTATTTATTTCAAAATAAATCATAAAACAAGCTATAATTTGATTACCATTGTAGGTGGGTGATGGATACATAGGGGATCAAGTGTATCATTTTCTCTATTTTTGTATATATTTGAAAGCCTCCATAACAAAAAGTGAAAATATTTTAAGTTCTTGTATAAAAATATGCAACAAAGAGGCTCATAGTATTACTACTGGGGATGATTTATAAACATTGCAAGCAAAATAACTCAAGCTGCCATAAAGTACTACCATAATGTGAGAAGAAAAATGCACCAATCAGAAAGGTTATATGCACCCCTATGTTCATAGCAGCACAATTTATAACAGCCAAGATTTGGAAACAGCCTGATTGCCCATCAGCAGATGAGTAGAGCAAATGGCTGAATTCTAAAAAGTTCCCCAAATCCACTGCTACAATTTCCACATTCAATATACCATTCCCAGGGTACGTTAAAAGGCAAACATTTTCAAGAAAGGCCTTAAAAATATGCATTTTGCAAGGGATTAACAGCAAGTTTCAAAACAAATTCCAGCCCTAGCTCGTTTGGGTTAGTGGATGGAGCATCAGCCTGTGGACTAAAAGGTCCCAGGTTGATTCTGGTCAAGGGCATAAGCCCGGGTTGTGGGCTCCATCCCTGTTACGGGGTGTGCAGGAGGCACCCAATCCATGATTCTCTCCATCATTTATGTTCTTATCTCTCCCTCTCCCTTATGCTCTGAAATGAATAAAAACATATTTAAAAAACAAATTCCAAGTTTTCTGTATTCTCAGAACTCATAAAGTCTTAATTCGTTAAGAAACAGAAATAAGCCGAAACCGGTTTGGCTCAATGGATAGAGCGTTGGCTTGGGGACTGAAGGGTCCCGGGTTTGATTCTGGTCAAGGGCACGTACCGTGGTTGCAGGCACATCCCCAGTGGGGGGTATGCAAGAGGCAGCTGATTGATGACTCTCTCTCATCGTTGTTTCTAACTCTGTATCTCTCTCCCTTCCTCTCTGTACAAAATCAATAAAATATATTTTTTTTAAAAAACAGAAATAAAAAAACAAAGTCTCAATCTTTGCATCAGCCTCTTTTCCAGATACCTTTGTATGAGGCCATTATTCATATATTTGTGAAGTGGTGAGTACCTACTACCGTTTCCCCGAAAATAAGACAGTGTCTTACATTGATTTTTTTCTCCCAAAGTTGCACTAGGTCTTATTTTCAGGGGACGTCTTATCTTTCCATGCGCTAGGTCTTATTTTCGGGGAAACACGGTGTTAGTCTCCATGGTATAATGGTGAACACACAAGCCTTGCCCTCTAGAAGCAGGAATTCTAGATAGGGCTGCATATGTGGTTATCAGTCCATTACTGCAAAATGCACTAAGACTCTAAGCCACATGTGTCAAACACAAGGCCCGCGGGCCAAATCCGTCCCACCAGGCCTTGCAATGTGGCCCGCACCGCGCTGTCATCACTGCACTCCGCTGCGTTTCCATCACAATGACAGTTTATGACTGTTCAGTAAACCATTCGGCCCGCGATATAGGCTGGATTTTAGATTTTGGCCCCTTCTCTGACTGAGTTCGACACCCCTACAAGCCTATGTGTGTCTATAAACTTTAAAAAATATTTTTTATTGATTTCAGAGAGGGAGATAGAAACACCAACGATGAGAATCATTGATCAGCTGCCTCCTGCATGTCCCCCACTGGGAGGGATCAGGCATGTGCCCCTGGCCGGAATTGAACCCAGGACCAGTCAAGTCCGTAGGCTGACGCTCTATCCTATCCAATAAGCCAAACCGGCCAGGGCTAAGCTTTTAAGGAATCATTCTAAGAGTCAGTCATGATGGAAATAATTTATTTCACATGTGTTATTGTCACCATTCTCAATTCTGAATACCTGGGATGCTACCTTTTTATTTTATTGTGTCCTCACCCAAGGATATTTTCCCATTGCTTTTTAGAGAGTGGGAGGGGGAGAGACAGAGAGAGAGCAACATCGATGTGAGAGAGCATTAAATCAGCTGCCTCCTGCACACCCCGCACTGGGGATGTGCCCACAACCAAGGTACATGCCCTTGACCGGAATTAAACCTGGGACCCTTCAGTCCATGGGTTGACACTCTAACGGTCCAAACCCGCCAGGACAAGGATGCTACCTCTTTAAAACTGGTTCAAATGTTACCTGTTTTATACTAACTGGATAAAGAAACAGAACTGGCACAAAGGAGCCAACCACACTAATGCTTTGCCACAAAGTAAAGAATACTTCACATTTCAAAGCTTAAAAGTGTATGAAATAAAAATCCAAGAGCTTCCCCATCCCAGCTAGTCATTTATTTGACCATAAATACATACTTTGGGAATAGCCATGAGATGCATTATCCTGTATGGTGGAAACCCCCATTCCCGGATAACATCTTAACGCCCCCAAATGATTCATTCATTAAGTCTGATTATCCAATGATGTATCATGATTTCCCTCAAGGTTTTCCCACCAAACACTGTATCTTCAGTTCATCATACATGTTGAGCACAAGTTCATTCTATGTCGATAACTTTTCAATGATAGGGTTTATGCCACCATTTTGTCAGGAGAGTTGTAATAGTTATAAACATCTCCCTTTCTGTAATCAAAGCCAAGGCAAAGAGAAAGTAGACACTAAAAATCTTTCACGCTCAAAGGCAAATGTATTCAGTTCCTTTCCATGCCGCACGTTCTAAGGTTATCTATGTGCTGGTTATTCCTGTTCTAATTCAAGTTGGGCACCTTTGAGTATCCACTTATCCTCCGCAGTGAGCTATATCGCATTGTGTGCTAGCAAGTATCTGATGTCGGGGGGGAAAGGAACATCCCTATGCGCTAGCTCAGTCAAGTGGGGAGTGTTCTGGGAGGATAGGTAATCTATTGTCTCTTCCGATGTTGTCTTGAGGCTCACAGTAGGGTCATTATCAGTTCGTATCAACAGATGCCTATAGAAGCCATTCGGATATGCTACAGCAGGGAGGAAGGCACAGGAGAAGAGGAGGAGGAGACTCGATGTCCTATGATGGAGTGTAGAGGCTGATCTAGGTACAGAAACCGGAAATAATGGAAACAGGAAGTCCTCCTTAGGATGCCATGCCAAGCAGAAAACCTCCGAAAAATCCACCAGTCACTAGAACGTTCTTCTTCACAAAGGACACCATCTGGGAAACAGGAGACAGCGCAATAAGCTATATTGCTAAGGATCTTATTATTATTAACTAGAGGCCTGGCCCATGAAACTCATGCGTGGGGAGGGTCCCTCGGCCTGGCCTGTGATCAGGACCAATCTTCCCTGGCTGCTGGCAGCTGGCCCTGCCCACTGCCAGTCGCCTTCTGTGCGTGGAGCGATGGGGCCCTGGCACTGCCACCACCCACCCCCAGCTCCCGGTTCCCCATTGGGCGATCCGGGCCTGTGGGCTGGGGGCAGCGCCTGCATTGAGCATCTGTCCCCTGGTCAGCGTGTTTCATAGCTAACAAGACGTTCTGCCATCCAGTCAATTTGCATATTACACATTTATACATATAGATTGTCCCTTATCTCTGTAATCTTTTTTAAATATATTTTATTGATTTTGTACAGAGAGGAAGGGAGAGAGATAGAGAGTTAGAAACATCGATGAGAGTCATCAATCAGCTGCCTCTTGCACACCCCCTACTGGGGATGTGCCTGCAACCAAGGTACATGCCCTTGACCAGAATCGAACCTGGGACCTTTCAGTCCACAGGCTGACGCTCTATCCACTGAGCCAAATCAGTTCCAGCTGTAATCTTTTTTTTTTTTTTAATATATTTTATTGATTTTTTTACAGAGAGGAAGAGAGGGATAGAGAGTTAGAAACATCAATGAGAATCATTGACCAGCTGCCTCCTGCACACCCCCCACTGGGGATGTGCCCGCAACCAAGGTACATGCCCTTGACCAGAATCAAACCTGGGACCTTTCAGTCCGCAGGCCGATGCTCTATCCACTGAGCCAAACCGGTTTCGGCATTTCTGCAGTCTTGACAATGTCAATGCCCTCATCTGCTGAGTAGTTTCTACTTTACCCACAGGGTAAGGAAGCCATGAATAGACCTGCATGTGAAAAAGGGCCCTGGCCGCTGTGGGGAGAATAAGACTACAGGGAGCCCAGTAGGAAGGACACGGATCAGGAGGTGAGATGGTAGGTGTCTGGATAAAGGTGGTGCAGGGGTGCTAGTGCACAGCGATAAAATTCACCAGATGTGCCGAAATTGGTTTGGCTCAGCGGCAAAGCGTCGGTCTGCGGACTGAAAGGTCCCGGGTTCGATTCCGGTCAAGGGCATGTACGTTGGTTGCGGGCACATCCCCGGTAGGGGGTGTGCAAGAGGCAGCTGGTCGATGTTTCTCTCTCATGGACGTTTCTCGCTCTCTATCTCTCTCCCTTCCTCTCTGTAAAAAATCAATAAAATATATATATATTTTTTAATTCACCAGATGTTTTCAAGACAGGACTTTGTGTGACCACATAACCGGTCATACGGGGGCTGAGGAGGTGAAATCAAGTGAGACTGGAAGGGAGGGGGAGAGACAGAGAGCAACATCAATGTTGAAAGACACATCGATTGGCTGCCTCCCGCACCAATGGACTGTCTTTAGGAATACATCTAAGGAATCCGCCCAAAAGTTTATACAGGGACAGGGAGGGACGGACTTCATGGGGGCAGTTATGGGGAATGATTAGAGCTGTGTTCAATAAACTGGTAAGAGCAATTCAAGATTTCCAATTTCACTCCTTCCACTTTCTTCAACACCTGCTGTCCAGTGGATGCTGCTCACTCTGAATCTCAACTCCAAATTTCTCCTTCCATCCATCCTATCCATCTACCCCCCTCTGACACCTTATTTCAAGATGCTATGTATTCTTTTTTTTAAAAAAATATGTATTTTATTGACTTTTTACAGAGAGGAAAGGAGAGGGATAGAGAGTTAGAAACGATGAGAGAGAAACATCGATTCAGCTGCCTCTTGCACACTCCGTACTGGGGATGTGCCCACAACCAAGGTACATGCCCTTGACCGGAATTGAACCTGGGACCCCTGAGTCCGCAGTCCGACGCTCTATCCACTGAGCTGAACCGGTTAGGGCTAGATGCTATGTATTCTTATTCTCACACTTCACTACATCAGACGATGACTAAGAGATGAAGTCCTTATTCTCTTAAGGTCCCAAACCCTCCTACATCCAGTCAAGTTCCTACTTATCTGTAGCTCCCATGTGTGTGCTCTAGAATCTCCACTTCAGAGAGAATGTTGGTAAGAGAACTTTCTTTGAAGTATAACCACCACCTTCAAAAGCGTTCATGGGGCCCTAGCTGGTTTGGCTCAGTGGATAGAGCATCGGCCTGAGGACAGGTTCAATTCTGATCAAGGGCACATGCCCTGGATGTGGCTCGATCCCTAGTAGGGGGTGAGCAGGAGGCAGCCGATCAATGATTCTCTCATCATTGATGTTTCTCTCTCTCTCCCTCTCCCTTCCTCTCTGAAATCAATAAAAATATATATTTTTTGGAAGAAAGTGTTAATGGGGCCTGGCTGGTGTGGCTCGGTGGTTGAACATGGACCCATGAAACAGGAGTTCATAGTTCGATTCCCTGTCAGGGCACATGTCCTGGTTGTGAGCTCGATCCTCAGTAGGGGATGTGCAAGAGGCAGCTGATCAATGATTCTCTCATCATTGATATCTCTCTCCCTCTCTCTCTCTCTCTCTCTCTCTCTCTTCCTCCGTCCCTCCCTCCCTTCCTTTCTTCTCTTTGAAATCAATAAAAACATTTTTTAAAAAGTGTTTCTGGGCTGAGGACTCTCAGATGGAAGGTGTGCAAAGGTGGGAGGGTGGGAAGTGATCAACCAAAGAACCTGTATCCATATAAGCATAATCCAAAGGACACAGACAATACGGTGATGAAGGCCTGGGGGGTGGGGTGGGCTAGGAGGGATCAATGGGGGAAGAAGAGGGACAAGTGCGATACTTTGAACAAGATTTTAAAAAGTCTTCATGGAAACAACACATCCAGCCTTCTGGCCTAATCATTTCTTCTGAACTGAAGTACAATGACTTCATCCCCCAACCACTCAAAGCCACTCACATCCTGAACTTTCTCTGACCTTTTCTACTCTACTACTCCAACCTTCTGTGGCCCGAGAGCCTCCTCAACATCCTGGACCCAGGTCTTCCTGTGTCACGTTCACTCCCCCTGCCATCCCAACTCAACTGGACTTCATACTTCCCTACTGGAGGCATTATCTTTGCCATCTGCCATCAGGGGGAATGGGGGGAAAAACCATACAACTTCCTGAATCATTGCCTTCATTCATTACCTTTACTTTCTTCCTTCCTACTCATTTCTCAAATTGCTATAGCTTGGCTTTCAACGCCACCATCCCACTAAAAGTGTTCTCCCTGAAGTCACCATTCTGGCTAAATACTGAATGTGTTGTTTTCATTCCCCACCTCCCAAATAAGACTGTGAGGAGCTCTGAGAGGGGAACCGGCCACCATCCTGAGGCACGTGACAGTACCAGGCCATTAACAGGAATACAAATAGTTGTGGAATAAACCAATTCCCAACCTTTTGGTTAGTTTACAAGTTCCCTCTGTGAGTCAAAAGTTGGCTTAATCAAACATTTACCTTAAACTTTTTTTTATTATACTTCCAGTACCACTGAAGAAGTTTTCTTCAACAATCATGTGTGGTTTTTTTTTTAATATTTTATTGATTTTTCACAGAGAGGAAGAGAGAGGGATAGAGAGTTAGAAACATCGATGAGAGAGAATCATCGATCAGCTGCCTCTTGCACACCCCCTACTGGGAATGTGCCCGCAACCAAGGTACATGCCCTTGATCGGAATCGAACCCGGGACCTTTCAGTCCACAGGCCGACGCTCTATCCACTGAGCCAAACCGGTCCCGGCAACAATCATGTTTTATAACTGTTTGAATGATGAAGTTTTGGCAGCCAGGCTGGTGTGGCTCAGTGGCTTAGTGTCATTCTATGAACCAGGTTACAGCTGGATTCCCAATCAGGGCACATGCCCAGGTTGCAGACCTGATACCCACTAGGGGCATGCAGGAGGCAGCCAATCGGTTATTCTCTTTCATCATTGGTGTTTCTAACTTGAACATCAATGATGTTCCTCTCTCTGAAATTCGTTCCTCTCTCTCTGAAATCAATAAAAATGCATTTTAAAATATAAAGTTTTGGCAAAACGAGAAAAGTGTAAGTGAGCTTGAGGAAGAGGGATGGAAGGAGGGATCGAAAGGGAAGAACTATTGGGCTCCTCAACCCTCATAAATGCCACCTCCTATTTTGGGTAAAAGACCAGCTTTGCCAACCAACTGCCACAATAAAAACTGTCCTCATATGCAGATTTTTAATATTTCCTACAATGTTTGTGATATCATACTATGTTAGTACAGTTTTGATATTATTATACTTAAAATCCTTTTTTCTTGAAATATTAATTTTTTAAAATATGTATTTTATTGATTTTTTTACAGATAGGAAGGGAGAGGGATACAGTTAGAAACATCGATGAGAGGGAAACATCGATCAGCTGCCTCTTGCACACCTCCTACTGGGGATGTGCCCGGAACCCAGGTACATGCCCTTGACCGGAATTGAACCTGGGACCTTTCAGTCCCCAGGCTGACGTTCTATCCACTGAGCCAAACTGGTTAAGGCGAAATATTAATGTTTATTGCATTTAATCCTATATAATAAAAGGCTAATATGCAAATTGTCCCCCTGGGTGTTTGACCAGGAGACTGGGAGTTCGATTGCTCACTATGATGTGAACCGACTACCAGGAGGAAGTGTGGAACATGGTGGGAGACCAGTGGCAGTGGTGGGGTGCTGAGAGACCAAGTGAACGAGGAGGCAGGGAGGCCAGGAGGTGGAGGAACCTCGTGGTGGCGGTGCATGGGTGACAAGGAAAGGAGGAGACAAGGAAGGAGGGAACCTGATCAGCCCTGATCACTGGCCAGGCCTAGGGACCCTACCTGTGCACGAATTTTGTGTACCAGGCCTTTAGTCTATACTAATAAAAGAGAAACATGCAAATTACCGTCACTCTGCTACACCCAACAGCCAATCAGAGTGAGTATGCAAAGTTAAGTGAAAAGATGGCAACAGCCCTGCCCCACAGCTGCCTGGAGCCTGTGGGAGTCGGAGAAATTGGGCGCCAGCGCCTGAAGCTGCCTGCAGCAAGGGAGACCAAGAAGCTGCCTACACCATGATCCCAGGCCACAGCCAGCAGCAGAAGCAACACATCCACCTGCCCCATGTCCTAGGGGAGACTGAGAAAATGGGCCCCAGCACCTGAGGCTGGGTGTGGCCAGGGAGAAGATACCACCTTCCCCGCCATCGCAGGCCACAGCCAACTGGAGAAGCCGACCGCCCCACATCCTGGCGGATACGAGAAACCAGGTGCCAGAAACAGGCTAGCTGCAGCCCAGGAGATGAAGAAGCTGCCTACCCTGTGATCCCAGGCTGCAGCCAGCTGGAGAAGTCACCCCCACTGCATCCCAGGAAGACAGAAAAGCCGCCCACCTGCCAACCAGGCACCAGCACCTGTGGCTGGCTACAACCTGGTAGACAGAGAAGCTGCCCACCCCTCAGTCCCGGGCACCAGTACCTGAGGCTGCAGCCGGCCTGGGTGCCTATGGCTGACCAGAGGGAGGGAAGTCCCAATCCTAGATGCCTGTGGTTGGCTGGATGAGGGAATCCTGGGTCCCAGGTGCGGACCGAGGCAGAGGTAGTTAGGGGCAATCAAACCAGCAGGGGCGCAGTTCCGGCTGGCAGGCAGAAGCAGTTAGGGGCAATCAGGCAGACAGGCATGCATTTGGGAGCCAGCAGTTCTGGATTGTGAGAAGGATGTCCGACTGCAGTTATCCAGAGGGGTCCCAAATTGGAGAGGGTGCACCCTCCCCACTCCATCCCCCCTTGTGCATAAATTTCGTGCACCAGACCTCTAGTATTATTTAAGAATGTTTTTCTCAAACAATGGGTGTTTACTGCATGTAACATCATTATATTTTAAATAATTTTTATTTTTATTTTTTTTTAATATATTTTATTGATTTTTACAGAGAGGAAGGGAAAGGGATAGTTAGAAACATCAATGAGAGAGAAACATCGATCAGCTGCCCCCTGCGTACCCCCCACTGGGGATGTGCCCGTAACCAAGGTGCATGCCCTTGACCGGAATTGAACCTGGGACCCTGAGTCCATAGGTCGACACTCTATCCACTGAGCCAAACCGGTCAAGGCTAAAATCATTTTTCTTTAGACATTAATGTTTACTGCATGTAACATTACTAAAGATTGTTTTTCTTGAAATTAAAAAAAAAAAAAGCCAAAACTGGTTTGGCTCAGTGGATAGAATGTTGGTCTGTGGACTGAAGGGTCCCAGGTTCGATTCCAGTCAAGGGCATGTACCTTAGTTGCGGGCACATCCCCAGTAGGGGGTGTGCAGGAGGCAGCTGATTGATGTTTCTCTCTCTTTGATGTTTCTAACTCTATCCCTCTCTCTCTTCCTGTCTGTAAAAATTCAATAAGATATATTTTAAAAAATAAGTTAATTTAATTAAAAAAAATAAAAAATCTTTAACTCAATTAAAAAAAAAACACACAAAAAAACTGTCCTCATATACCTGGCTATGCAGAATGGTCTGTTCAGCCTTTTTCTAGTCTGCTAAGTCATTTACCACTCAGCTCTGTGCTTTCCAACTCCCCCAAATTTGCTGACATTTGTTGTTTACTGATATTCCTCTCCTGTTCCCTTGGTCCTTGTGGGTTTAAGCACTTTTATTTTGTTGCTGTCATTTAGATATATTTCAAAAGGAAGCAGAGAATTGCTATATTTAATCTGCCAACGTTTAACCCAAGTTCACCTATTACCACCTATTCTATTTGATTACATAACTTTCTCCTGTCACTGCTACTAGAGTGAGAGTGCCTCAAAGACAAGGCCTACTTCGTTTGCCACTAAGTCATAAATCCTTCCCCTTTCTCTGTGAACCCAGAACCCCATTGCCCCAGGCTATGGAGGGTGCCAGCCATTTATTTCTCTACAGTTCAGTGTAATTATTACTTTGGGTCATCTAGCATATTTCTCTTTTTCAAATATATTTTTATTGATTTCAGAGAGGAAGGGAGATAGAAACATCAATGATGAGAGATAATCAATAATTGGCTGCCTCCTGCATGCCCCCTACTGGGGATCGAGCCCACAACCCTGGGCATGTGCCCTGACTGGGAATCAAACAGTGATCTCTTGGTTCATAGGTCAACCCTCAACCACTGAACCACACAAGCTGGGGTAATAAAGCATTAGCAAAACACATCCTTTTAAAAAGGAGAATTGTTTCCTGTTCCTCCAGTGCCAGCCAATATAACCTAACCTGGTTTTGTGCAAACCACACCCCATGGTTCAAATCCAGTTGGCTGTGTGCTTTAAAATCAACTTCCAGCCAAAACCAGTTTGGCTCAGTGGATAGAGTGTCAGCCTTCGGACTGAAAGGTCCCAGGTTCGATTCCGGTCAAGGGCATGTACCTTAGTTGCTGGCACATCCCCAGTAGGGGGTGTGCAGAAGGCAGCTGATCGATGTTTCTCTCTCATTGATGTTTCTAACTCTCTATCCCTGTCCCTTCCTCTGTAAAAAATCAATAAAATATATATATATATATATATATATATATATATATTTTTTTTTTTTTTTTTTTAATAAAATCAGCTCCCATCATATCACAACTGCACCCACTTTGCCTGAATATCATTTATGACTATTTTCGTGCTACACAGTGGAGTTCAGTATTTATAACCACATGGCTTACAAAGCTGAAAATATTTACCATTTGGCCCTTTACAAGAAAAGGTTGCCACCCCTAAGGCTAGACATTCTACTAGTTATACACTGAGTGGCCAGATTATTACGATCTCTGAATGCATAATAATCTAGCCACTCAGTGTGTGTGTGTGTGTGTGTGTGTGTGTGTGTGTGTGTGTGTGTATTAGAGGCCCGGTGCATGAATTCGTGCATGGGTGGGGTCCAGCCAGCCTGGCCAGGGGGAGGGGACATGGGCGATTGGCCAGCCTGCCTGCTGGTAGAACTCCTGGTTGAGGGGACAATTTGCATATTAGTCTTTTATTATATAGGATATACACTGAGTGGCCAGATTATTATGTGTTCAGAGATCATAATAATCTGGCCACTCAGTGTATGTAGAATTGGTCATGTAGGGACACTGCTGATCTCTGTATGCATGGATACAAAACGATCATTCTTATCTGCATCCTTATCCTCCTCCTCACTTGCTGCATTGCCCCCATCCCTACAATAACTAGTTCAAGAGATGATGGACTTATGTATGGGCACATATGACTTTGCATTCTCACTCTCTGACAAGCCACCAAACACTTTAATCGCCCAACTTTAAAAAAAAAAGTCTCTGGCCTGGTTGGAGTGGCTCAGTTGGTTGAGTGTCATCCTGTGCACTGAAAGGTTGTAGGTTCGATTCCCAGTCGGGGCATGTATGGAAGACAACCAATTGATGTTTCTGTTGCTCTCTCTGTTTCTGTTTCTCTCCCTCCATCTCTCTCTCTAAGCATGTCCCTGGGTAAGGTTTAAAAAAAATGCGAGTCCAGCCCGGCATGGCTCAGCGGTTGAGTACTGACCTATGAACCAGGAGGTCAGGGCACATGCCCAGGTTGTGGGCTCCATCCCTAGTTTGGGAGTGTAGGAGGCAGCTGATCAATGATTCTTGCTCAGCAATGTTTATCTTTCTCTCCCTTCCTCTCTGAAATCAATAAAATATATATATATATATAATGTCTGAGGTGAAGCTATTCCATCCAAAGCTGACAAATAGATGTGTAGGCCCATTCTTGGACATGCAAAACTGTCTGCACCCTTAATACACTTCACATAAACAAAACCAGTCGCACCTCCTCGGCTTTGCTTTTCACCTCTGTGGGTAAGTGGTTGCTCTTGCGGATCTTCAGCTGTTCCTTGGCCGCCTTCATGTCCTTCTCTACTCGTTGCCAGTCAATTTTGATGTAGCCAGTATGGTTTGCAATCTATAGTTTCGACAACAGCAAGAAATAAGAAACATAGGCTCGTTATTTCTTTTTGTCAGGGAAAAAAATCACTGAAGTGCTTTATCGAAAACCCTTCTGACTCCATTTTTGGAGACATTTGCCATCCAGGACCAGGTATGACAATGATATTCACTCAACATCTATTCAGCATCCACCCTATGTACAAGGCCCTGTGCCTGGCACCAGAATCCAATAGACAGCCCTTCAATGACTGCTGACAATTCTTTTACTTTATTTTATTTATACACTTAACCCTCTCAAAAAAGTTTTAAGTTAGAGCCCTGGCTGGTTTGTTTCGTGGTTAGAGTGAGAGGGAGAAATAGGTACTTTTGTCCCCATATTATAAATGAGAAAATAAAATGCAACTAGTAATTGATGAAGTCTGACTCAAAGGCCGCTGGCATTTCAAATAATACATTTGTATATAAGTGCAAAGATTATTCTAGTGTAATATAAGCAGGGTTACATTACAGCTCCTCATACCACATTCGTATTGGGCAAGCGGGATTTCCAAACATATAGGAATATTTCACATACAGACCTGAAGGAGAAAAAATCCTCCTCCCACAGCTGTTGCAGCCAACTTTCCAACCTTCTGGAAGATGAAACCTGTGCACCTGCAAGAACCAAACCAACATCAGGCAAGTCGACGGGCTGTTAAATACACAAATAACAGTTATGATATATATATATATATATATATATATATATATATATATATATATATGTGTGTGTGTGTGTGTGTGTGTGTGTGTGTGTGTGTGTGTAGAATGAAATACTAAAACTATTATATAATATATATCTAAAATATCATTTAGCCTTAAAAAATTGAGAAAACCTTACCATTTGCAACAACATGGATGGACCTACAGGGCATTATGCAAAGTGAAATAAGACAGAGAAAAACAAATACTGTATTATCTCATTTATACACTGAGTGGCCAGATTATTATGATCTCTGAACACATAATTTGGCCATTCAGTGTGTGTGTTTGTGTGTGTGTGTGTGTGTGTGTTTGGCCCAGTGCATGAATTCGTGCATGGGTGGAGTCTGGCCAGCCTTGCCAGGGGGAAGGGACATGAGTGGTTGGCTGGCCGGCCTGCTGGGGTGGGGAGCATGGCATAAGGTGTCCTGGCCTGGCACTGGGGCAGAGGGTGTGGCCTGAGGTCCCCCATCAAATCCCATGGGGCAGAGGGCACGTCATGAGGTCTCCTGGCCCAGTGCCGGGGGGGGGGGGGGGGGGGGGACGGGACGCCGCCTAAGGTCTCCACGTCAAGCCCAGCTCCCCCCTCAGTGTCACGTCAGCGCTGAATGGGGATGCATGCAGGCAGCGTGACGTTAGTGCTGGGGACGGAAGTCCCCGACCCTGTACCCACCCACAGACTGGTCATGACTGGGACACCATAATGGCCAAATTAGCATATTACCTCTTTATATGTATATAATAGATTACTTCTCACTAAAACGGGGGGAAATGAGGATGGATGCTAACAGTACCGATTTCAGAGTTGTGAGAAGGAAATGATTATATGGCATGTAGTAATTTGTGTAACCACTAAATGGCACTTTAATATGTTTTGATAAATGCTACACATGAAGTGATCTATTTCACAGAAGCCAACGTGCTTTTATTGGCTAGAGGAGGTGATTCCTATCACCCTGATACGAAAGCATGTAAACAAAGACACTGGAAATCTTTCACATCACTCACCAGCCAGTGACCCCTCCAATCAACAGCTGTGTTGCGACGCTGTACTTTTCAGCTGAGGGCCCAGTTTCTGGCCCAAACAGCTTGCGCCACCATGGCTGCTTCTTAGCATATTCTGCAAGGTCCAGTGACTCAAAATGCCCTACAGGGATGAAGAGAGTGAATAAGAACACGGACACTTTTCCAATAAATTACTACCATTCCTAACTAGATGAAGAGATTTAAAAAGAGGTAGTTGGAATAAGAACCTCCAATATTATTCTATTTTAAATAGTAAATTAGCTCTGAAATTCTGACTGGCAATTCCTGAAAATCTGTCTGAAATAAAAAAATACTATTTGTCGCCAAAACTGGCTTGGCTCAGTGGACAGAGCGTTGGTCTGCAAACTGAAGGGTCCCACGTTCGATTCCGGTCAAGGGCATGTGCATTGGTTTCGGGCACATACCAGTAGGGGGTGTGCAAGAGGCGGCTGGTCGATGTTTCTCTCTCATCAATGTTTCTAAAATCTCTATCCCTCTCCCTTCCTCTCTGTAAAAATCAATAAAATATATTTAAAATAAATAAATAAATAAAAATAAAATAAAATATATTGAAAAAATACTATTTGTCTTAGAGGAAAACAACCTAGATTAGGGGTGTCGAACTCAATGAGAGAAGGGGCCAAAATCTAAAATCCAGCCTAAATCGCGGGCCGAATGGTTTACTGAACAGTCATAAACTGTCATTGTGATGGAAACGCAGCAGAGTGCAGTGATGACAGCGCGGTGCGGGCCACATTGCAAGGCCTGGCGGGACGGATTTGGCCCAAGGGCCTTGTGTTTGACACATGTGACCTAGATGATAGTAACTCTAGTTTTTCCTCTCGTATATTTAAAAACCATTAAGAAGCTCTAGCTGGTTTTGCTCAGTGTATAGAGCATTGGCCTACGGACTGAAGGGTCCCGGGTTCAATTTCGGTCAAGAGCATATGCCCGAGTTTCGGGTTCGATTTCCAGTAGGGGGCGTGGAGTTGGTGGCCGATCAATTATTCTCTCTCATCATTGATGTTTCTATCTTTCTCTTCCTCTCTGAAATCAATAAGAATATGTTTTTTAAAAAGACAATAGGAAAAACTATTAGTAATCCTATCTAATAAAAGAGTAATATGCAAATTGACCATCACTCTAAGACACAAGATGGCCACCCCCATGTAGTCAAAGATGGCTGCCCCCATGGGGACACAAGATCACCAGCTCGGGAGGGCAGTTGTGGGCAGTTAGGGGTGACCAGGCCAGCAGAGGAGGGAAGCTGGGGGGGAGGACCCAGGCCTGCAGGGGAGGGCAGCTGGGAGCCAGCAGTCCTGGATTGTGAGAGGGATGTCCGACTGCCCAGTAGGATCAGGCCTAAACGGGCAGTCAGATATTCCTCAAGGGGTCCCAGATTGGAGAGGGTGCAGGCTGGGCTGAGGGAAAACCCCCCACCCCATGTACAAATTTTGTGCACCAGGACTCTAGTACTTAATAATGCATTTTAAATGAAATGGATTTCTTTCATTTTCTTCTCCTTTTCAGGAGTTAAACTCAATAATATTGCTAGATTCTGAGTATTATGTGGCTCTCCAATGATAATATGAGATAATGCTTAATTGAGCTCTTACTAGTCACCAGGCAAAGTGCTATGCAATAAACATGTACATCTAATTAAACACACAGAACAAGGTACTATTTATTAACCCCATTTTATAATAAGAAATGAAAGCCCAGCCGAAATCGGTTTGGCTCAGTGGTAGAGCGTCGGTCTGCGGACTGAAAGGTCCCAGGTTCGATTCCGGTCACGGACATGTACCTTGGTTGTGGGCACATCCCCAGTAGGGGGTGTGCAAGAGGCAGCTGGTCAATGTTTCTCTCTCATCAACGTTTCTAGCTCTCTCTCTCTCTTCCTTCCTCTCTGTAAAAATCAATAAAATATATTTTTTTTTTAAAAGAAAAGAAATGAAGGGAGTAGGGGAGGGAACTCATGGTGGACCTTGATTTTTGAGAGGTTTTAAAGGCTGGGCAATTAGGGGAGGACCTAATAGAATACTTGTCAACTTTATGCTGATGTACCAAAATGAGATTTATTCTCTTAACTCCATCTGTCCTTGGGTGTGGTTGGAAAATTCCTGCTGTCTCTGTGAGTAGGGTGGTTTAAGCTATTTTCCCTCTGTTAGGGGAGAAATATAAACCATTTCCTCTTAGTGTCCCTGGTTTAGGGAAGACAGAAATTACTACGTGGCTGCAAATTGCTGTTTAACTATCTGTTTGTTTCCCTCTTGGATGTATCCTGGCTTACTAGCCTGTCTCAGAAGGAATGTCAAAGTCATAGTGAAAAAAAGCATGGAAGATGTTGCTGCAATCATTTAGGATAGTGGTCGGCAAACTCATTAATCAACAGAGCGGCAAACTGCGGCTTGAGAGCCGAATGTAGCTCGTGAGCCGCAGTTTGCTGACCACCGATTTAGGAAAACACAAAGTGCCATAAGTAACCAAAGCAATTTTGGAGTGGAAAGAACAAAGGTCAAAGCAATCCTATATAATAAAGAGGTAATATGTAAATTGACCATCACACACTTGCACAAGATGGCCGCCCCATGTGGTCACAAGATGGCCACCACAAGATGGCTGGCAGAGGAGGGCAGTTGTGGGCGATCAGGCCTGCAGGGGAGGGTTAGGAGCAACCAGGCCAGCAGGGGAGAGAGGGCAGTTGGGGGCAACCAGGCTTGGAGGGAAGGGAGTTGGAGTTGACCAGGCCTGCAAGGGACAGAGGGCAATTGGGGGCAACCAGACCTGCAGGGGAGGGCAGTTGAGGGAACCAGGCCAGCAAAGATGGGCAGTTGGGGGCCACCAGGCAGGCAGGCGAGCGTTTGGGAGCCAGCAGTTCCGGATTGTGAGAGGGATGTCTGACTGCCGGTTTAGGCCCAATTCCTAAACTGGCAGTTGTATATCCCCCAAAAGGTCCCAGATTGGAGAGGGTACAGGCTGGGCTGAGGGACACCACGCCCCAGTTCACAAATTTCGTACACCAGGCCTTTAATAAAAATATAAAGAAAAAAGAAAGAAGACATTACTGTCACAAAGTTCAAGGACTCCATAGTTCTCACTCTTTGCCTTGGTTAAATATCACTGAAAATAAGAATGAGTTTTGAGTTTTGCTTTCATGTAATTTTACCAAGCCCAGGGGTCAGCAAACTGCGGCTGGGGAGCAATACAATTCCTTAGTCACCTATATTCAGTGGTATGTTTATAAATGTTTAACCAGTTTTTGGGGGGAGGGCTGATTTGTAGTGTGTGCCCATTTCCTTGGTGTATTCACTCCCTGTGTGACATCACTGAATTGTGACATCACTGAATTGTGACATCACTGAGATATAGAAGTGCAGCATACTGCTATTTCCACCACATAGATACATTAATTGTAAATAGCCTTAAGAGCATAAATAACAGTAAAACATGGCAAATAATAAAGTGATAAGTTTTGACTATTTTCACTGTCTTTGTTTTAACATAATTTACGTAATTTTTTAAATTGGTTTCAGAGAGGAAGGGAGAGGGAGAGAAACAATGATGAGAATTATTGATCAGCTGCCTCCTGCACGTCCCCCAACCTGCAACCCAGGCAAGTGCCCTTGATGGGAATTGAAGTGGGGACCCCTTCAATCCACAGGCAGATGCTCTACCCACTGAGCCACACTAGCACACCAGCCAGGGCATAATTTATGTAATTTTAAGTTTATATAATTGACTTTTTAAAATGTATCGTTAGCCTGGATGGTGTGGCTTAGTGGTTGAGCATTGACCTATGAACCAGGAGGTAACCCTTGGATTCCCAGTGAGGGCACATGCCCAAGTTATGGGCTCCATTGCCCGTAGGGGGTGTGCAGGAGGCAGCCTATCAGTGATTCTCTTCATTGATGTTTCTCTCCCTCTCCCTTCCTCTCTGAAATAAATAAAAACTATTTTTAAAAATATATTTTATTGAATTTTACAGGGAGGAAGGGAAAGGGACAGAGAGCTAGAAACATTGATGATGAGAGAGGATCAATCAGCTGTCTCCTGCACACCCCCCACTGGGGATATGCCCCTGATCGATGTACATGCCCTTGACCGGAATCGAACCTGGGACTGTTGAGTCCTCAGGCCGACGCTCCATCCACTGAGCCAAACCGGTTTTGGCAATAAAAACTATTTTTATATTTGTTTAAAGTATTACAGATGTTGCCCAAACCGGTTTGGCTCGGTGGACAGAGCATCGGTCTGCGGACTGGAAGGTCCCGGGTTCGATTCCAGTCAAGGGCATGTACCTTGGTTGCAGGCACAAACCCGGTGGGGGCTGTGCAGGAGGCAGCTGATCGATGTTTCTCTCTCATTGATGTTTCTGACTCTCTATCTCTCTCCCTTCCTCTCTGTAAAAAAAAAAAAATCAATAAAATATATATATATATATATTTTAAAATAAAGTATTACAGATGCTACGTTCATGGGTTATGCATATAAATTCTGTTGTTAATCTCTTTCCACCCACCCCAACCCCCTTTCCCTGAGGATTGCCAGTCTGTTCCACATGGCTCTGTTTACTACTTGAATCTTGTAAGCAAGTACTGAATTGACTATAACGATGAAGCATTCAAAGTACGGTAAGAGCATGATTTAAAGACGTATTCCCCTGCGTATATATTATTGAGATTGGGAATCTTCCTTTGACTACGCAGACTAAAGAAAAGACTATTTCCAAGTACCATCCCAAGGATACTTACTACTCTTTAAAAACCATCAACAGCGCCGGGAGGCGCCCTGCACCCAGAAAAACACTTGCCAGGGGTTTGACATATGCGTTCAGAGAGAGAAATAAGCCGCTTTCGTCTCAAAGTGCCAGACCTACCGAGAAACAGGGACGGAAAGTCTCCGGGCTTCGGTTTTGGGGGCGGCGCCGGAAGTCTGAGCCCAACAGGAGGCAACACCCCGGGCCGATCGGCCCCGGACTGGCGCCTGACCTTGGCCGGACCCTGGGGACGGCCCGGGACGGGGGCAAACCCCGGGGGCCCACCCCATCCCTGCGCGGTTAGGGCTCCCGGGGGAGCTCTGCAGGGCTGTGGAGCCTCCCCCTCCCGCAGCCCAGGGAGGTGGCTGCCGCGGCGCCGGCGGCGCGCGTGCTCGTTCTTACCTTGGTTGGACGCGGCCATTTCGGCGAGCTGGTCTCGCGATGATATGGGCGGCAGCTCGGCGCCAAACGACAAGGAGTGGCGCGCCGGCGTCGGCGTGAGCTGGTTTCCGGCACGTGGTTCAGATGTTTCCATGCCGGAGGCCTTAAAGGAAGAGGGCGGGCTGGGGGCGGGCTGGGGGCGGGCTGGGGGCGGGCTGGGCTCCCGGCGGTGTCTCCCCGCCTCAGCGCGCAGCTGCGTCACAAGGCTCCTGCGTCGGCGTCATTGGCCCCCGAGGCCCCGCCCCCGAGGCCCCGCCCAGCAGATGCGCCGCGCATGCGCAGAAAAGCCCCGCGCAGTTTCTCAGTGGTCCTTTGGGGAGCTCACGTAGGCGGCAGTTCCCTGGGCTTGCATGCAACCGGGTTCTTCCCTAGTAAAGATGATTTTACTAAAAAACAAAGTAAACAGGCTTCTCCTGTTTGCTTATGTAAGCATTGAGCCAATATTGATCACTCTGCTATGATCCGGACGCTGATAATCAATAATAGAAGCGCTCAGAAAGAAAAGAGTTTCTGGTGGAACAGAGTTCGGAATCTGTAAGGGAAGGCGGGGGAAGGTAGGTGGGTGGGAGGTGATCAGCCAAAGACCTTGCAAGCATGTATGCATAACCCATGAACACAGACAATAGGGTGCTGAAGGCCTGGGGTGGGAGACGGGTGCGGGCTGGAGGGGGTCAATGGGGCAAAAGGACATACACTTTCAACAAGAAAGATATAAAATAAATTGGATTTAAAAATTCTAGCTTCAAAAAAGAAAAGAGCTTCTTTGCCTTCAGTGCCTATGAAGCCCTTGAACTCTGTGGCAGGGCACATACCCCCAGCTCACCCCTAAACTACTCTGTCACGCCATCTCAGTTAATGGCAACTTTACTGATCCCAAAACCTTGGCATTATTCCGAATTCCTCTCAAACCCCACAAATCCAATTCATTAGCAGTCCCCATAAACTCTCCCTTCACAGTGAACCTAGCCATTTCTCACTCCCCCAGTGCTAACGTTTTAGCTCAGGTCACACCAGTTAACAGGTTGACCTGTTCCTATTCTTGTCTCCCTAAAGTCTATTTTTTTCCACCAGGACCAGAAAGATGAGTCTACGAGTAAAAGGTAATTGCTGTGAAAATGAAGAGATTGAGAAAAATCAACTTCATGGACACCGGCAACAGTATGACGATTACCAAGAGGTAAAGTGGGCTGGGTGAAGGGGACCTGGTGCTCGGGGTCTGCCAAGGGCCAGCCAGTTGTGTGTGGGTTCTTGATTTTGTACAGAAAAAAATTCGCAACATGAATCCAGGTGAATTTTGGAGGACATTTATTAAAGCTGGGACAAGGCCTGGCAGTTGTGGCACAATGGTTAAGCATTGACCAGTGAATCAGAAGGTCATGGTTAGATTTCTGGTCAGGGCATGAGCCCAGGTTGCTGGCTCCATCCCAGTCAGGGTGTGCAGGGCAGTCAGTCAATGATTCTCATCATTGATGTTTCTATCTCTCTCTCCTTCTCCCTTCCTCTCTGAAATCAATAAAAATCTATTTTTTAAAAATGCTGGGGACAGTGAAACAAGGAAGGACCTAGGATACTAGAAATATTATATTAGGTTGGGAAAATGAGCCGAGGCTGGGCTGCCTGGGTTCACTAAGGAGTTAGTAAAAGGGGGGGTCTTGGGGACAAGTTTAGGGGTTTGTCAGGACAAACTGATGCTGTCCATTGCTACCCTGGTTGCAAACTTCCTGGGGTCCCTTACAGTTTAGGAGATGCATGCTTATGGAGGAAGAAGAGGAGGAGGAGGAGGAGAAAGGTACTGGGTGTGCTCCTGGGAGAGAGAGAGAGCTCAGACTCAACCCCCACTTAGAGGTGTAATAAAGGGTGGGGATTTAGGGGAGATCCTAGAAGAGGATCTCAGTAGAATACTGGTCAGCTTTATGCTGATGTGATTTATTCTCTTAACATCATCTGTCCTTGGGTGTGGTTGGCAAATGGCACCAATTGCCTACTACAGAAAGAGACTTGACTTTGGGCCAAGGCACCAGGCCTCTAATCTTACCCAATAAAAGAGAAACATACAAGTTAACCATCACTCTGCAAAGCCCACAGCCAACCAGAGTGAGTATGCAAATTAACCCAACAAAGATGGGGGGGGTAATTTGCATACACAGGTGCAGAGCAGAGTGAAGCCTGCTGTGAAGAGAAGGGGGTGGTGGAGGGAGCTACGGGAGTGGTGCTCCAGACAGAAGCAAGGACTTGCTGGCTCCCAGGCGGCCGAGGAGCAGGGACTTGCGGGCTCCTGGGTGGGCCCAGAGCGGGGATGTGCCAGCTCCCGATTGGCTGGGAGTGAAGCCAGGGGAAGGAAGGCCTATTCTTGCACGAATATCATGCAATGGGCCTCTAGTATACATATAACAGCTTTGGTTAATCTCTTCATAACCTCCCCTTACCCCCTACTCTCTGTTTCCATGCCTGTGTGTTGAGCGCCTGCCCCCTGGTGATCAGTGCACGTCATAGCTACCAGTTGAATGGTCAGATGGTTGCTTAGGCTTTTATATACACTGAGTGGCCAGATTATTATGATCTCTGAACGAATAATATGGCCACTCAGTATATATCCTATAGAATAAAAGGCTAATATGCAAATTGTCCCCTCAACCAGGAGTTCGACCAGCAGGCAGCTGGTCAACTGCTCATGTCCCCTCCCCCTGGTCAGGCTGGCCAGACCCCACCCATGTACAAATTCATGTACACACACACACACACACACACACACACACACTGAGTGGCCAGATTATTATGCGTTCAGAGCTCATAATAATCTGGCCACTCATTGTATATAGATGGTGTAGAACAATGATTACCATTGGTTCTCCACATCTGAGGATCCCCAACCCCAGGAGGCAGAATCCGTAGGTACGAAGGGTTGACTGTACTTACTTTTTATTTTTTTAATATATTTTATTGATTTTTTTACAGAGAGGAAGGAAGAGAGAGAGTTAGAAACATCAATCAGCTGCCTCCTGCATACCCCCTATTGGGGATGTGCCCGCAACCAAGGTACATGCCCTTGACCGGAATCGAACCTGGGACCTTTCAGTCCACAGGCCGACGCTCTATCCACTGAGCCAAACCAGTTTCGGCAGACTGTACTTACTTTTGTGTACATTTCTTTTCCTTCTAACACAGTGAATATGATACTAATCTATTAAAAGTATTGCTTATTGTCTCTCAGCTGTTTTTCTTTTTCACAACTGTGCACCCAGTGCCTAGGACAGTGTCTGGCTAGGACAAATCTGTAGTTGCATAGCCTTAGGCAGACCATTTCATCTCTGTGCACCTGGATGCTTTATCTCTCTCTCCCTCTCCTTTCCCCTCTCAAAATCAATAAAAACATATTTTTTTAAAACCCCCAAAATTATAAAGCAGATCCTGTAACTCCTTTGCAGACCCCTCCGCTGGCTTCTGACCTCATTAGGAGTAAGATCCGGGGACTCTACCAGGGCCTAGTGCATCTACCATGATTTGCATGTCCCTTCCTCCGACCTCTGTTGTCTCATCTCACTCTGGCTACTGACCTTGCTCTTCCTTAAAATACAAAGCAGCCGAAACCGGTTTGGCTCAGTGGATAGAGCGTCAGCCTGCGGACCAAAAGGTCCCAGGTTCGATTCCGGTCAAGGGCATGTACATTGGTTGCGGGCACATCCCCAGTAGGGGGTGTGCAGGAGGCAGCTGGTCGATGATTCTCTCTCATCGATGTTTCTAACTATCTATCCCTCTCCCTTCCTCTCTGAAAAATCAATAAAATATATATTTTTTAAAAATACAAAGCAAACTCTTGTGCCTAGAACTTAGCACTTGCTATTTCCTCTTCCTGAAACACCTTTCTTTGCAGTCACGTTGTGAGGATTAAATTAGATAATGTGTAAAGCAGCTGGCAGTGAATTTATCGCCCTGGATTGTAACTACGGGGCTACTTTTCTGTCTCCCCCATTGTACTATAACTCCCAGAAGGCGGGACCTGGATTTGATTCATCTCTGAGGCTTCCGGGCTAGGAGCATCACTTCTGGAATCAGGTTACCTGGGTTTGAATGCTACCACTTCCAAACTGGGTGACCATGGCCAAGTTGCCTAACCCAGTGGTCTGCAAACCCTGGCTCACGAGCCACATGCGCCTCTTTGGCCCTTGAGTGTGGCTCTTCCACAAAATACCACGGCCTGGGCGAGTCTATTTGGAAGAAGTGGTGTTAGAAGAAGTTTAAGTTTTAAAAAATCAGGCTCTCAAAAGAAATTTCAATCGTTGTACTGCTGATATTTGGCTCTGGTGACTACTAAGTTTGCCGTTTCATCACCTGTAAAATGAAGACAAGAATTACAGCTGCAGCCGGTGTGGCTCAGTGGTTGAGCATCATCCTATGCACTGAGAGGTCACCTGTTCGATTCCCGGCCAGGGCATATGCCCGGGTTGTGAGTTTGATCCCTATTGTGGGGTGTGCAGGAGGCAGCCAATCAATGTTTCTCTCCCATCTATTTCTCTCTCTCTCCCTCTCCCTTCCTCTCTGAAATCAACAAAAATGTATTTTTACAGAGACCAGCAGCTGCATTACAAAGCACTTGCAGCCGGGACCGGTTTGGCTCAGTGGATAGAGCGTCGGTCTGCGGACTGAAGGGTCCCGGGTTCGATTCTGGGCAAGGGCATGTACCTTGGTTGCGGGCACATCCCCAGTGGGGGGTGTGCAAGAGACAGCTGATCGATGATTCTTTCTCATCGATGTTTCTAACTCTCTATCCTTCTCTCTTCCTCTCTGTGAAAAATCAATAAAATATATATTTTTTTTTTTTAAAGAAAAAGAAAAAGAAAGCACTTGCAACAGCTCCTGGCATGTAGTACGGGCAGTTATTACGTCTGCATCCTGGTGCCTGGTAGAGAGAGGTACAGCGCATTTCTATCAAAGGACCTTCCTCTGGCTTGTTTCCAAGCTGGACAACATCTCGCCAATGGCTGCCAAACACATTCTTACCCAGGCAGGACTGAACTCTCAGTGATAACATTTCTTATTATACAACCCTGGTCAAGTTTCTTCTTCTTGTTCTTTTTTTTTTTTTTTAATATATTTTATTGATTTTTTACAGAGAGGAAAGGAGAGGGATAGAGAGTTAGAAACGTCGTTGAGAGAGAAACATCGACCAGCTGCCTCCTGCACACCCCCCACCGGGGATGTGCCCGCAACCAAGGTACATGCCCTTGACCAGAATTGAACCCGGGACCTTCCAGTCCACAGGCCGACGTTCTATCCACTGAGACAAACCGGTTTCGGCAAGTTTCTTCTTATCACCTATACTTTTAGGGCCTTGGGGAGGTCCTCACTCCCCCTAATGTACATTAACCCAATAGGGACTCTGCTTGAATGGCAGGTTTCTGATGGAAGGCCATAGAGCACATGTGTCAAACACAAGGCCCGCGGGCCAAATCCGTCCCGCCAGGCCTTGCAATGTGGCCCGCACCTCGCTGTCATCACTGCACTCCGCTGCGTTTCCATCACAATGACAGTTTATGACTGTTCAGTAAACCATTCGGCCCGCGATTTAGGCTGGATTTTAGATTTTGGCCCCTTCTCTGATTGAGTTCGACACCCCTACCATAGAGTATCCTATACCCAGGCCAAATGTAAGCAAACTTCAGAAGCCTCAAGTAACAACGATGCAAGATCAATAGACACATTTCTGGTGGTTATGAATGTTATGTATAAAAACAAAGCCGGGTCCAGCCGGTATGGCTCAGTGTTTGAGTGTGGACCTATGAACCAGGAGGTCAAGGTTCCATTCCCAGTCAGGACACACACCCCGGTTGTGGGCTTGATCCCCAGTGAGGGGCATGAGGGATGCCGAGGGATGCAGCCTATCAATGATCCTCTTTCATCATTGATGTTTCTCTCCCTCCCTCTTCCTTCCTCTATGAAATCAATATTTTGATTTTTTAAATATTTTTGGAAAGGTAAATAAAAATGAAGCCAGGAGGGATATCAATAGTACCAGTGTGGATACCGAGCTTACCATGTAAAGTTGGTCTTCATTGGAGCTCATTGGGAAGGCAAGATTTGAGCCAAGACTTGAAGGAGATGTGAGAGTGGGAATGTGTGGAGATCTGGAGGGAAGGTGTTTCAGGAAGAGGAAACCAGTTTGGCTCAGTGGATAGAGCATTGGTCTGCGGACTGAAAGGTCCCAGGTTCGATTCCGGTCAAGGCATATACCTTGGTTGCGGGCACATCCCTGGTGTAGGGTGTGTAGGAGGAGGCTGATGATGTTTCTCTCTCATCGATGTTTCTAACTCTCTATCCCTCTACCTTCCTCTCTGTAAAAAATCAATAAAATATATATTTTTTTTAAAGAAGAGGAAATAGCGAGTGGCAAGTTCTAGGCACAAGAGTTTGCTTTGTATTTTAAGGAAGAGCAAGGAGGTTAGAAGCCAGAGTGAGATGAGACGAGAGAGGTCGGAGGAAGGGACATGAAGATCATGGTAGATGGACTAGGCCCTGGTAGAGACCCCGGGTCTTACTCCTAGTGAGTTCAGAGGCCAGCGGAGAGTTCTGAGCAAAAGAGTGACAGGATCCACCTTATAGTTTTTGTGTGTGTGTTTCTTTAAATATGTTTCTATTGATTTTGAGAAAGAGAAGTAGGGAGAGGGGGAGATAGAAACATCAATGATGAGAGAGAATCACTGATGGGTTGCCTCCTGCACACCCCACACTGGGGATCCAGCCCACAACCCGGGCATGTGCGTTGAGCAGGAATCCCACTGGTGACCTCTTGGTTCATGGGTCGACACTCAACCATTGAGCCACACAGGCCAGGCAGCTTCATAGCTTCAAAAAGTCACTTAGGCCGAAACCGGTTTGGCTCAGTGGATTGAGCGTCGGTCTGGGGACTGAAGGGTCCTAGGTTCCATTCTGGTCAAGGGCATGTACATTGGTTGTAGGCACATCTCCGGCAGGGGGTGTGCAGGAGGCAGCTGGTCAATGTTTCTCTCTCATCGGTGTTTCTAGCTCTCTACCCCTCTCCTTTCCTCTCTGTAAAAAATCAATAATATATATATATATATATATATATATATATATATATATATATATATATATTTTTTTTTTTTTTTAATTTTTTTTTTAAAAAGTCTCTTAGGCCCTGACTGGTTTGGCTCAGTGGATAGAGCGTGAGCCTGCGGACTGGAGGGTCCTGGGTTCAATTCCGGTCAAGGGCATGTGCTTGGTTGTGGGCACATCACCAGTGGGGGGTGTGCAGGAGGCAGCTGGTTGATGTTTCTCTCTCATTGATTTTCTAACTCTATCCCTCTCCCTTCCTCTCAGTAAAAAAATCAATAAAATATATTAAAAAAATGAAAGCAAATATTTTAAAAAAGAAAAAGTCACTTAGTGGTAGCCGTGTGAGGGGCTAGGGGAGAAGTAGGGAGGCTATTGGGATACTGGGTCCTCTTGCTTATGCAAGTGGATTCCAGAATCTGTTGCTGCTACTAAAGGAGAGGGTCAGAGTAGGCCGGGAGTATGACTACCTTGACCTCCCCCTCCCTCTCTTCCTTCCCTTCAAGGTTGAGATCAAAGCAGTATTCTGGCGCCCTCACTGCTCTCAGAGGTGAATGGGTTAAGCTGTAGCTCAGCCGCCCTTTTCCTAGTCCGTTCTTCCTGTGGGTGCTTCCCACTGCCAAAAAGGAAGCAATGCAATCCCGTACTGCCCAGTGCTGCTGCTCTCACATCCAGCAGGTAACACTCCCTAAAGCCCTCTGCAGAAATCTGGGGACTTTTCACTACATCACAAAAGATTTGCCTTTTTCCCCCCCCCTCTCTCTCTCTCTCTCTCTCTCGGGAGCCAAGGATGTTTTAGAGAAGAATTAATCTTCCGTTTCTCCTGTTGGACATTTCCCAGCCATCAGAGCCATGCAAACAGCGCTGGCCACCTGCCTCTTTCTGTGCCTTTTGCCGGTCAGCTTCTGTGCTACCAGAAGGTTCTACCTGGGCGCCGTGGAGCTGTCCTGGGACTACAAGCACAGTGAACTGCTCAGTGAGCTCCACCTGGATACAAGGTAAAGGCACATTCTGTAGCTGGGACTGGTTTGGCTCAGTGGATAGAGCGTCGGCCTGCGGACTGAGGGGTCCCGGGTTCGATTCCGGTCAAGGGCATGTGCCTTGGTTGCGGGCACATCCCCAGTAGGGGGTGTGCAAGAGGCAGCTGATCGATGATTCTCTCTCATCGATGTTTCTAACTCTCTATCCCTCTTTCTTCCTCTCTGCGAAAAATCAATAAAATATATTTTTTTAAAAAGGCACATTCTGTAGAATGTGACCAGGGTTGTGGGGATATGACTGGTTGGAAGAAGGTGCAGACAACAGGTTAGAATGGCTGTGATGCTAGTTACGCCTTAAAAAAGCATTTCCAGGCAAGACATGCGTGGATCTGTGCTATTAGCGCAAATGCTAACTGCCTGTCCCTTTCATAGATCTGACCTATTCGTTGATATTTTTTAAACAATTTTTTTAGTAAATATATTTTATTGATTTTTTTTACAGAGAGGAAGAGAGAGGGATAGAGAGTTAGAAACATCGATGAGAGAGAATCATTGATCAGCTGCCTCTTGTACATCCCCCACCGGAGTTGTACCCGCAACCAAGGTACATGCTCTTGACCGGAATCGAACCTGGGACCTTCCAGTCCGCAGGCTGACGCTCTATCCACTGCTCCAAACCGGTTTCGGCATTTTTTAAACATTTTTTATAATTTTATTATTTTTTACAGAGAGGAAAGTAACTGGTCAGGATTATTGGTTGATATTTTGTTCTGTTTTGTCCATTGGATCTTTTTTATTTTATTTTAAGTTTGTAATGGAAGTTGTATATAATATTACTTTATTCCTGCATCTTTTCAATTGTTTCTTCCTTGTATTTGCCCTTTTCCTTTCCTACTTCAAGAGATTTGGCTTTATGTTCAAGGATCTTTTCACAGCCTTTATCCAGCTTTAGCCTAGTGATCACCACCTTGCTGGGGTGAATGCCCCCATGAACAGTTGTACCGTTAGCTTTCTCCCATTGCACTCGTTCAATGTGGATGGCATATGTCTTCCTGTAGACCGGGGCTGCTTTGCCAATTTGCTGCTCTTTGTAATGTCCTTGAGCAACCTGAACTTCATCATCCTTTCGGATGTGCCTGGATCGAACATCATACTTCTGTCTCAGCTCTTTGGAAAGAGAAGATATAATCTTCCTTCGAATGTGGGAAGGTGCATTGCTCTGGTCAGAAGTCACAAAGGGTTTGAACTTCATTTTGACTGCTGGCACTTCTAAGATGGGCGCCTGTCCATTGACTCTTATTGTCACACTAGAGGCCCGGTACATGGATTCGTTCATTGGTGGGGTCCCTTGGCTTGGCCTGCAGAGATGGGTCTGAAAACAGCAGTTTGACATCCCCCAAGGCATCCTGGATTGCAAGAGGGTGAAGGCCAGGCCAAGGGACCCCACTGGTGCACGAATCCATGCACCAGGCCTTTAGTATGTATATAAGATCTTTGGTTAATCTCTTCCTGTCCTCCCCCGCTTCCCTCTGAGATTCATCAGTCTGTCCCATGTTTCCATACCTGTGGTTTCTGCTCATGCGTTGAGCATCTGTCCCCTAGTGGTCAGTATGCGTCATAGCTATCGGCCACTCGGCTGGTCTCTTAGGCTTTTATATATATAGATGCTGCCACTCCGGAAACTAGAGGATGGAGAAAGGGCAAAGAGACAAGGAGTATAAGAGAGAGAACATAGCTTTCAGAGCGAGAGGAGAGCAATGAGATCCCATCAACATTACATACAAGTTTAGTCTCTGGTTGTATTGTGTGTGTGTGTGATGTGGTTTTTGACCTCTTTGCCCAATTTTGGTGCAAGGATAGTATTAGCCATGAGTTCAGAAGCTTTTCATCTTTGGGGGGTTCTGGTTCATTTTGGGAAAGTAGTACTAAATAACCTTTTCAATATTGCTTATAGTCATTAATTTATTCAGATTTGCTTACCTCTTCTTCAGGCAATTTGATTATATATATTTCCCTGGAAAGCAGTTATCCCTGTATTTGATAATGTATTGATATCAAGTTACATAATCATCTTGTGATATTGTTAGTAGTTATATCTCTTTTTCATTTTTTAAAATACATTTTTCATTGATTTCAAAGAGAAAGGTAGAAGGAGAGGGAGATAGAAACATCAATGATGAGAATCATTGATCAGCTGCCTCCTGCACATGCTCCAACCAAGGATTGAATCCTCTACTTTTTTTTTTTTTAGAACCATCAACCTATTGGTGTACAGGATGATGCTCCAACCACCTGAGCCACCTGGCCAGGGCTTTGTACTGATTTAAAATTTTATTAATTTTACTTTTTATTTATTTATTTTTGTAGTGATTTTTAAATTTAATTCATTTCTTAAGATTTTGCCCTTATCAATGATCTCTTCTTAAGTTTCTTTCAGTTTATTGTGCTGTATTTTTCTAATACCTTAGGAAAAGTGATATGTACTTTTCTCTATTTTGTCCTTTTTTAAAATAGTGAAGGCTCTTAATGGTATATATTTTTGTCTGAGAACATCTTTTCCATATTCCATAGGTTGTGGTATGAAGACTTTACTTTTCATTGTTTTCAGTATAGTTTGTAATATCCTCTTTGATTTCACTTAGAAACATGATTTTAATTGACTTTTGTTTGCTTGTTATTTTTAATATTTAGCTCTATTTTGAGTATTCTATTAGTTTCCTACTGCTGTATAACAAGTTACCTCAAACTCATAAGCATAGAGAAAGTCATCTATTATCTATCTCACCGTTTCAGTGGGCAGGACTGGGTACTTTTCCCAGGGTCACACAAGGCCAAAATCAAGGTGTAGACTGGTCTGGTTTCCTTACTGGAGGCTCTAGCCAGTTTGGCTCAGTGGATAGAGCGTTGGCCCAAGGACTGAAGGGTCCCAGGTTCAATTCTGGTCAAAGGGCATGTATCCCCAGAACTTGTCACTAAGGTACATGATTCTCTCTCATCATGGATGTTTCTTTGTCTCTCCCCTCCCTTTCACTCTCTCTAAAAATCAATGGAAACATATCCTAAGGTGAGGATTTACAAACAAACAAACAAACAAACAAACAAAAAAGAACCTTTGTGATTGATTATCTTGGGCCTACCCAGTTAACTCTCCCCTCTCAAGGTCAGCTAATTAGCAACCATAATTCCATAGGTTGTTGGTTGTTGTTTTTGGCCAGGTAACATATTTTTTTTAAATATATTTTATTGATTTTGTACAGAGAGGAAGGGAAAGAGATACAGAGTTAGAAACATTGATGAGAGAGAGTCATCAATCAGCTGCCTCTTGCACACCCCCCACCGGGGATGTGCCCGCCACCAAGGTACATGCCTTTGACCGGAATTGAACCCGGGACCCTTCAGTTCACAGGCCGACGCTCTATCCATTGAGCCAAACCGGTTTCAGCCCAGGTAACATATTTATGGGCATAAGCAAAGATCATGAGGGACAAAATTATTTTGCCTACCATGGGTATAACTTACATACAATGAAGTGCACAGATTTGATTTTATTATTATTTTGTTGTTGTTAATCCTCACCCAAGGACTTTTTCCCATTGGTTTTTAGAGAAAGTGGAAGGGATGAGGAGAGAGAGAAAGGGAAACATCAGTGTTAGAGAGACACATTGATTGGTTGCCTCCCACACTCACTCTGACTAAGGCAGGGATCAGCGTACATGCCCTTGACTGGAATCAAACCCGAGACCCTTCAGTCTGCAGGCTGAGGCTCTATCCACTGAACCAAACTGGGTAGGGCAAATGCACAGATTTTATTTTATTTTATTTTATTTTATTTTAAAAAGAATATATTTTATTAATTTTAGAGAGGAAGGGAGAGGGAGAGAGAAAGATGGAAACATCAATGATAAGAGAGAATCATTGAGGTACTAGGGATCAATCCCAAAACCTGGGCATGTGCCCTCGACCAGAATCGAACCTGGGACCCTTCAGTCACAGGCCAACACTTTATCCACTGAGCCAAACCGGCTAGGTCAAATAAACAGATTTTTAAATGTGCAGTTTAGTAAGTTTTCCCAAATGCATAGAAGTTACATAAGCACCATCCTAATCAACATACAGAACATGTACATCAACCATTCTGCAACTTTTCATTGAGTTTCCTTCCCCTGACCAGGCCTCTAGCAACAAGCTGCTTTTATGGAATCACAGATTCATTTTTTTTACTTTTTAAGAGTTTTATATCTGTAGAATCATGTAGTTTGCACTCTTCAATGTCTGGCTTTTTAGCTTCAGCATCATGATTTGGAAATTCATCCAGTATACTGTCCTAGTCTTTTTTTATTATTATTATATATATTTTATTGATGTTTTACAGAGAGGAGAGGGATAGAGAGCTAGAAACGTCGATGAGAGAGAAACATCGACCAGCTGCCTCTTGCACACCCCCCACCGAAGATGTGCCCACAACCAATGTACATGCCCTTGACCGGAATCAAACCAGGGACCCTTCAGTCCACGGACTGACGCTCTACCACTGAGCCAAACCGGTTTCGGCTGTCCTAGTCTTTTTATTGCTGATTACTGCTCCATTATGGGAACATATCATAATTTGCATATCCATTCACTGTCACCTGGACCTTTGGAATGTTTCCCGTTTGGGGACTAATGTAAATAAACCTACTATGAACATTCCTGTACACGTTTTTTGTGTGGACATCTGTTTTAATTTATTTTAGCTAAGTATCTAGGAGTTAAATTGCTGGATCATATTGTAAATGCATGTTTGACTTTATAAGGGACTGCCAACAGACTCCCTGAATGGCTGTACCATTTTGTAGTCCCACCAACAATGTGTGAAAGTACCAATTTCCACACATCCTGGACAACATTTGATGTTGCCAGTATTTTTCATCATTTTTTTTTATATTTCTTTATTGATTTCAGAGAGGAAGGGAGGAGAGAGAGATAGAAACATCAATGATCATTGATTGGTTGCCTCCAGCACACCCCCTACTGGGGGTTGAGCCCGCAACCCAGGCTTGTGCCCTTGGTTGGAATCGAACCCGGGACCCTTCAGTCCACAGGCTGACGCTCTATCCACTGAGCCAAGTCGGCTAGGGCTTTTTCATCATTTTAATCACTGTGTAGTAGTATTTCACTGTGTACATACGGTATGAGGAGGGGATATAAGTTCTTTTATAGTTTATATAGTGGAAGTTGTGCAGTGTTAATGACCCGGAAGTAGAGGTCCAGATGGTCGATAGCCTGGTATCTAACTGAACAGTTAGCCACATATCCATTAATGTTGATATAGCTGAAAATTAATATTGAGACAATGGTACTTAATGCATTGTGCTTTGTTTTGTAGCTTCCCTCTACATGCAACATATTTTCATGTTAGTCAGAACTGTGACATAGTGAATAACAGTCTGAGTACAAAATTGAATTGAATGGAGAAAAGGATTTATTTGTTATCTAGCTTTGTGTTGTTGTATAGGCAGTCACGTGTATAAGAAAAAATTGGTAGAATTTATTTATTTATTAATTTATTTATTTTTAAGTTAGAATAGTAGTTATGGGTTGTTGTTTTTTTCCATTTTTTTTTTGTAATGTATTTTTATTGATTTTGGAGAGGGAGGGAGAGGAACAGAGAGATAGAAACATCGATGATGAGAGAAAATCATTAATCAGCTGCCTCCAGCACGCCCCCTCCTGGGGATCAAGCCCACAGCCCAGGCATGTGCCCTTGACCAAAATCGAAACAGGGACCCTTCAGTCTGCAGGCAGACGCTCTATCCACAGAGCTAAACCAGCTAGGGCTAGATTTTTTATTTTTATGATACCATTTTATAGTCTAGATTATTTTGATAGTAACAAGATCAGCTGACTCTGGACACACCCTACCAAGCTCTGCCAAGCTTTGAAATAAACATCTGGGGAAATTCAGTTTTGTATTATCTGTTCCTGCAGCTGCTCGGCTTCTTCTAAGCAAGCGTCAGGAAATTGAGCAGGTTTTCTGATTGGTTTTAGATAAAATGTGAAAGAACAGTTCATGTCAAGGACGTTGTTGCCAAATATATTTGGCAAAACATATATCAGGTCTCAAGGGAAACGCACAAACAAAAAACCCCACGAAAGTGAGGAAGGAATAAAACCTATGAATCCTGGAACATTTTGTCATTCGCTGTGAAGATTACCCTGAAACTGAGACAGGCACGTATTTTTTTTTAATATTTTTAATTGATATTTTACAGA